TGGTTTTTACTCTCCTAGGTTCTCTTTTTAAAGGATTTTCTACAAAATTCATATAACAAATGTTACATAAAACAACATGTTACCTTCAGTAAGTTGCAGATGCATTGGTTTTACAGATCGTAAACGATATTCTGAGGGTGTTGAAGGGAAATATTGCACTGAGACAGAACACCTTGTTATTGGATATTGGAGTAGGAGTATCATCAGTTCCATTGTACCTAGCCTCCTTGCCATGATATGTTTTCGAAGTTCATCAGTTTCATCAATATCAAATAATTCAGAATGCTCAGATTTTGTGACATATTTTGTGATGTATCTTGCAAACCCAGTGGAAGTTACATATTGGAAATTAATGTGGTCATCCCATATCAATAAGGTTTCTGGGTGGTATGGAACAACCATTCTATCCTCATTTTTTGTATGACGATATATGTAATGTAATGAATAAGGTGAGCAATATGTTACATTTGATAATGGTTGAGGGAATCCTTTGGAGCATGGCTCTCCATTTGGCCCTTGACCTCCACACATTTGATTACAATGGTGTATTTGAAATTTAATGACCAATTCATGTAACTCCTTTTCTGTAACAGGGTCAGGGACATCAGCACAGATTGTATTCAAAGAGATCAATTCACTTGTCTTCCTTTCTGTGTAAGCAAAGCCATGTGTGTGAATTGTCCCACGATTTTGGAACTCATCCCTTTCAAAGTAATGTTTCCATTTTCCCCATTTTACTAATTCAGGATTTTTCCATAATTTATTTCTGATGTTTGTTAATCTATTTCAATAGTGCAACAGACGATTGCTTGGCAAAGTGTCTCCATTGTCAGTACAGCTCAGGATATGATGAAAGTGAGGCCATTTGCCTTCAGCCATAGTCAAAGTGTAAAAGATTTGGGGTAATCCATAGGCACTGATCATTGTGTTCACCTGGAGTTGTTTTTTTTTGAAGAAGGGGGCTGCAGTCCTCAGGTTTGAAGGCAGTGTTATAGTTTTTAATTCATCTAGGATGCTCCAGCTATTATATGAACTTCTAGCAATCAAATCAACCCTTGTTGGATGATGCTCCCTGTTAACATTTTGAGTGGCTAGAATACAGTGTTGATTTTGAAAGTTACGCTTTTTTTCAAGCATCAGGTATGACCAGTGAGGCCAGTACCAATGTAGACGGAATTGAGGATCAGGGCAAAGCATTTGTATTTTTATATACTTTCCATAGCTGTCCACCAAGGACTGGAGACCTAGAAATTTCTTAATGTACTCATAGTGCCCTTTTCCATTGGGGAAAAGGTCAGGAAACATCAATGCTTCCAGATCAGGATTTCCAAATAAGATTGGAAGTTTGTCATTGTTGTATTCAATTGACCCTGCTATCAACCTATTATAGTTTGCATCCTCATTGTGTATTTCTGGAGGAAAGGAATCATTGGGCACAACCAAATCAGGTGGACGAAGTGTTTCATCTGGAAGTCTGCTGTGATAAACATTGAAAGTTTGTTCATTGTCATCAATTGTTTGGCGGGCCAATGGCAGTTGAATGGGCACAGGATCTCCTGGTGAAGGGTTGGAAATATTGGATGCATACTTCCTCAGAAGAGAGTTGTTGTCTTTAAGCCACCTGGATGCACATATCAATGATTCATGAAACCACCTTGAAGGCTCATTAACATTAAGGAAAGCACCAACCATCCCAGAGTAAAGTTCTAAGGCACGATAATTATGTGTTATCCCAATTGCACCTTCCAAGTGCCTATAATTTGTGTAAGAGTTTGATCCAGAAGCACGCCCCAATGAACAATTCATGTGAACTGGAGAGA